TGCGCCCGAAATAAGCACGCCGTGCGTCCGATGCTGAATTTCGAAGAATTGTACTCACTACCAGCCACGCACGACCGTGTGGGGGGGGGGGGGGGGGGGGACGCACACCGTGCGTGGCTACTTTTGCACGTTTCATGCTCCGGACATACTGGGGGACGCACGTCATGCGTGGGTGCTGTGTGTGCGCTCCCGATGTATTTTTTCGGCCAGAATTGCTCCGTTTTTTATATTTAAACAACCTGTAAATCCCCGTTTCAGGATGGAGTTTAAAGAGAGGACCTAGCATGAAACTTAAAGAGCTTTTCAGCCTTGTTAATCAATATTTTGGGATTCTTTGTGAGTTGCATCTTTTTAATTAATGACAATTGATTCTTTTCATCTCAATTCTATTGTTAATTCAATTATGAATTGTGAGTAGTTTTAATTAGGGATTTGGGATTGATGAAGGGTTAATCATGATGTATGGCTAAATTCATGATGGATTAATTGCATGAATGTGATTTAATTTGTGTTTGAATGATTTAATTGATATCTCTTGTAACCTAGAATGGCCACTAGGATTATAATTGCATGTAGAATAAATTAAGAGAGGTCTAATTTATTCTAGGACACCTTCACACACACTTAACCGTTCGCTAAGAGATTAGTAACGATTAAGGGGTCGTACGCTCGCTCGTTTTGGCAATAATTTTAGATACATGTCGCATGAGAGATCAGCCTTGTTCCCTAAATTATTGTACTCTATGACCCGAGAGCGATTAGAACTTAGTATTGATTATGTTGCTCTATTAAATAATTTTCATGTGAATTAGATTGATCTGCCAGAAATCTAATTACCCCGGTATCAATCTCTGTTCCCAATCATCATCAATTAGAAAGAACCCATTAGTTTAATTGCTTTGTTCGCATTTTTAATTTCCAAATCAACCAATCTCGCACAATTGCATTTATTTTATTTTTTTAATCGCTGAATTTAATTAATTCCGGATTCCCTTTTTTCGTCCCTATGGAGACGATACTCGTACTTCCACCACTATTCTACTACATATTTTAAGTGCGAGAAAACTCACATCATACATCCTGGTGTAGGGATATTGCATGGAAGCTAGCTGAGTTTCCATAATTTAAACGAACAACTATGTGTGTGTAATGTAAATACGAGTATATAACTAATGTGTAAAATTTAAAATGTACAGAATATACTATCCTCCGTTCCGTTTTAATCGCAACATGTTGAATTTTACACTATTCACATGTTCTACTTTGCCTATATTTTACGCTATTATTTTATGATTTTTTTTTTAAAGTGTTCAATTCATCTCATTAAAAATTTTCAAAATCTGATTTTTAATATTTTTTTTACTAATAAAATTAAGATATAATTACGGTCAAAGATGTGCGTTGGCAAATGTGAAATGTTGACCGTTGCAACTAAAAAATAACAGAGGGAGTATATCTCAAAAGTCATAACTAATGTATAATTTGTTCAACCTCACATTTCGAGGACAACGTGAGGTTGAACAACTAGCCGAGGCATATGGTAATATGGAGATGGAGGATGAAGATGAGATAATCCTGGTGGAAGCAACGGCTTCGAGTGAGGCAGACACAAGTTTAGCTCTTGTTGGGACAATCACATCGGAGAAATCGGTGCGCTTTACCACTTCTTGAAACACTATGGCATCCGTTTGGGGACCGACCAAAGGTACTACTTTCACTGAGCTAGGTAATAGACGCTATTTGTTCCAATTTTATAATGTGCATGATATGTTGCGCTCCATTGAGAATTGACCTCGGGACCTCTCACAAGGGAGAGTGAGTAGGCGACCAGCTGGGCTGGACCGCTTCTTCTGTGCATGATATGTTGCATGTTTTGGAGGATGGTCCATGGATATTTGATCAAAATCTTAAAATGCGGTGAAAATTGGGGATTTTGTGGGAATGTTCATAAGGGTGGATGAACACAATTTCTCGGTGAAATGGAACCCGTTTATGAGAATAAGAGTGAGTCTGGATCTAACTAGGCCTTTGAAAAAGAAATTAGTGTTACAAGAAGATAGTGTTGTCCAATTTATATTTCTTGTGTGGCATTATTGGGCACACTGAGAAATACTATCCTCGCAACCCTGAGGGGTGCATTAGAACGGGGGATAAACCATATGGGTCATGGCTTAGGGCTACTAAGGGTAATTCTCAGGTTGGAGATAACAAGTGGCTAGTACCGATCAGGAATAGTCCGATTCAAAACAAAGAGGGAGAGGAGAATGAGTCTAGTTCTAATAATGAGTTCTTGGATACGGGAGAAGCTCAGAAGCAGACAAATGATAGGTCTGAGCAAAAGCGTGGGAGGGTCATCCAGGATAAGGAAGGCAACATGAAGGTGGAGACACGTGGGCTAAAAAATGGGAAGGGGGCGAGTTGCAGCTCTGCAACTCGCCTGGCTCATCAATAACAAGCTTGCAGATGATTCATAATAAAAATGGAACGGATAGTCTTCATCGATTGATTACTAGTAATTTCTTTGCTTTTATTTTAATTTTTATGTTTCCACACTTTTATTGTATTGTTGTTATTGACTCTGAGGGTGGAAGGAGGGTTTTGATTTGTGTTCCGGTTGGTAGGAGATTGTTTGAAAGTAATTGCTTTGGATCTCTCGTATTTTCATCGAATAGTCTCGTTCAGTTTCGGGTGGTCTATTATATGTCTGATCAGAGAGTGAGAGGGCCTGTTGGCTTAAGAAAGATGAGAAAGTGGGGTAGGTTTAAGGGTGAGGATGTAATGGTGCTTGTCATTAATACTTCCTCCATCTCTTTTTAGTTGCAACAGTCAACATTTCACGTTTGCCAACGCACAACTTTGACCGTCATTATATTTAATTCTGTATTAGTACAAATAAAATAAAAATTAGATTATAAAACTTAGTAATGAGATGAATTTAACAACATTTTTCAGAAAAATAATTCACATACATTAATAAATAAAATGTAGTCAAAGTAAAGTACATGAATAGTGTATATATTCCAATGTTGCAATTAATGAGATACGGAAGATAGTATAATTTAAGCTTTCTTCTCTCAAAAAAATATCTCAAAAGTTAAAACTAATAGAATTTTGTGTTCTTTCAAATATAAAAATATAATGAGTTAACAGAATCAATTAAGTTATGAAGAATATATATCTAAAATATTTTTTATTAATAAATTTAAGAACAAGTTGTATGGAAAATAGCTGAAATGGTCATCTTTATCAATTTCAATCAATTCAACCGGAAAATTAATACGGTATTATTTTGATTATTACACAATTCAACGTATGATATCAAAAATTACATATTTCGTGAAAATATTTATTAATAAGGCTGATAAGCTGAAAATATGAGCTACCAAATAGGCTCAATATTTAATACGTATGACGTACCAAATAGATTTTTTGTTATTGTAATAAAATTATATGTAGGTGTAATGAATAGTGTAAGAAACGTAGGAGAGGTGGAAAAGTACGAAAAAGAATATAAAAAGGAGAAAAAATAAGGGTAATAGAGTATATTAAAGGAAAAAAAATTATCAAAAAGGAAAAGTATTGCAAACTTTTAAATACATTCAAAAATGCAAAGTGTAGCAAACTATAAAAATAAGGAGTGAGTATATATTAATTCATACCATATAGTTTTAGTTAAATTACAAATCTCTGTGTTTATTGACTGACAATACACCATTCATTAGTTAAGTTTTTGGTAAATGATGATAATAATAAAAAATGTACCTGAAGTGGAGTACTGGAGTATACAAGTATGAGGAAGGGGAGCCGACGCAATAGTTAAGGTAATGTTGTGTGATTGAGAAATCACGAGTTCAAATCCTAGGAGCCATACATTGGTTAAGGTGTTGCTCTCTATATTGTCTTGTAGCCGAAGTCCAGAGAACTCCTGTTACTTAGTCAGATCTTCCCAAGAAACTTTCCATGTTCATAAAGAACCTTGAGCCATTGAAGGGACACGGTTGATGAGAACAAGGAACCAATCATTCTTTTTTTTTTACTTCATAAATGGATTAGTATTCCCGATATCATTCTTGCTCATATACCTCCACTCCCTCTATATACTATTGTGGTGAGACACTTACTTGGACGCTTATCTTGCAGAGAAGCCTTGGTGTAGTTGCCCTTTTTAATATATAAATATGAGAATAAACTATGGATGGATCTGGTCGGGTCAGGCTCCAGGCCAGGACTGGGACGGGACTAAAAATTTCAGGCCTGATACCGACCCGGGTTTGTACCGAGACCAGGCCTAAACAGTACCGGGTCAGGACCGGGACGGGACGAGATTGGGCAATAATTTAAAAAAAAATAGTGCAATTGAGCTCGGGACCGACCTGGGACCGGCCAGGTCGGGCCCAAAACAACGAGCCCGAGTCCCGCCCTATAGCTACCTGGCCAGGACCAGGCCTATACATTAACGGGCCGAGCTGGGCCTAAACAGTACCAGGCCAGGGCCCGGGTCGGGCCGACCAGTCCCAAATCCCAATCCATCCGTAGAAGAAACTTACCTTTTAAGGATCTTTTATTTGTGATGAATATCAAGTTTGTTTCATTGATTATTTGAGCAAATCAATCGGATTGAAGAACAATTGAGGCAGTGTAACACCCCGGCCCTGCACGACCCGAGGCAGTTACTAGGGACCTCTAGTATTGTCCTCTGTGAGTCACCCTCTCAAGACTACTTCCATGCAAGCGCACTTAACTTGGAGTTATTAACTTGGAGTTATTAGCTTCCTTAAAACTTAAAAGGAGTACTATGTATCGGTTGGTCAACTAAGCAATAGAAAGCTATGGACAATTGATTCATTGGTAACCCAATATTGTATAGCTTAAAGTCCTTAAACTTAGAGACCTCATCACGCTGGATTGTATATTAATAAAAATAAGTATGGTTGAATTTATCAAACGGGCTCGTGCTCCCTATATAACACCTATATAGGCCTTTAGGGTCCTGCCCTCCTATCAAATGCAGATATGACTCGATTATATTTGAACAAAGCGTAAACAAATAAACAATAGACCAAATTACATTGCTACAAGGGTCTTAGTTGATTAATCACGATTCACTGTTCATATTACATCCAATACAAATATTACTTGGGATGAAAAACATCATCTCAACCATACTAGAACAAAATAATGAGACATTGGAACAAATAAATAAACAGAGAGATATGTCCATTTTGGCTGGCAGATTGCTGAAGAGTGGATAAGGATGCAGCAAAATGCTGCTTGAGAAGCTGTCTGCTAGTTCCTGTAGCTCTTGGATTTCTCCATAGCCCTTGGAGCTGCATAGGAGAACAAGATGAATCTGTTTATATATATTCTTGAAACTTTTCTATTATAATGTCAAATAGAATACGTTTCACGACCATTGATCAATTTAACAAACCAAACAAACCTAATCCAATTGCATCAGAGCCCTTCATGATCTTCAATCGCTTGCATGACTCTATGAACATGCTGTGGTAAATGCACTTTTAGATTAGGAAGATAATGGAACATTAGCATATTCAAAACATTGTTCAAATCTGGACCAATGAATCCAAACCATTAAAGAAAGTCATGTTCCAATATTATTACTTTTGTTATTCAATCTTATGTAAAGATCACAATGGAGTGAAACCTTGGATTACAAAAACACATTGTACCAAAGATCACATCTTTAAGGCATCACCTATTCACCATCACAAACATAAATGAACTAAACAATTCTTTTCATTCATCCCCCAAACCTCCCATTTCATTTTTGACATGAATCAAGGTTTTCCCAAGTTCACTCATGTATCACCTATAACCAAATAAATGCATGGTAAGTGAAAAAATAGGGGGGAGCTTACTCCCATGGGACATCTCCCACAAGCATCCAATCTCCATCCTTATCTTCATATGTTACGACATACTCTGATCCATGAAGGCAGTCTCTTAACATACTCTCACTCAAATTTTCTCGGCCTTGACCTCCTTGGGGGCTTTCACATTGTTCTTTTTTATAATGAAAAAGGGAAAAAGAAAAACAGAAGTGAACAGAAACCATAAAGAGTGAGTTCAAATTACAGATATGAGGAATGCAGGACTTTAAACAAAGCACACCTATGGTAAAACAGCTGAACATCTTCTCAAGCCCAGCAGAGAGTTCTTGATATGAGGTGTAGGTTCTAAGATCCACCTTTCTTAGATACGGAGCTCCATCCATGCTGACTTTAACAAAAATAGCCATGGGGCCAGGCTTTCCATCAACTTCATCATTAACCTTAGCACTTGAAGTCAGTGTGTTCTTTCTAAATGATCTAATAGGCGGCCAGCCAACAACTTGCTCCCTACAATACAATCTCATGTTAATATCTACGACAAATTCAGTCAACATTTTGTTTCATCTCACAAGATGGCTTATATATAGAGTATTTAAGGGAAAACATTTGGCTCTCAAGAACATACTTAGCTTGCACGTGCTTGTCCTTCATATTAGCCTGAGAATCAGATTTGGGAGTGGTAAACATCCAATTATTAGCCTGAGTCACTAAAGCGACCTTTGTTTCTAAGAACCCTCTTTTGTTCCCAGAAGCCTTGAGAGGTGAGCAGATTCCTTCATTTGAAGGTAGCAATGGGAACAAAGTCTTTTCATTGAACTTTCCAGGTTTTAGATCATTATTATTAACTTCTTCATCTCGGTCAGAGGATTGAGATCCAGGAAGACCAAGCCTCAATTCTGTAGCTTTAAGGTTCAACCTGTCCTTGGCCTTCAAAATTGCTGAAGAAGAAGCCATTACAGAAGAAGCATTACAATGCCCTTCACCCAATGTTGATGGGGACACCATGCGAGAACTTGAGTTTGGTTAGTCTCTCAACCTGCTTACATAATCTTTTTTAGAAAACAGCTAATAGGGTATTAACCCTAAAAAGTATAGATAATTCAATTTTGATAATAAAAAAATTTAAATGTTTCATCCAAAACACAGATATTAAGGATTTGTCAATGTACCCATGGTTAGCACATGCTTCCCGCATCAAACTGCCATTTAGTGATGGAACAGAAGCCTATAAAGTTGTTTCCTTTTACTTTCTTCAAAAAATATTCCGTAATGAGACACAGCCCTTTTTTTAAAGGGGGGATTGAGAAGGAGAAGAGGAGCAATAGGAGGATACCACAGAAAGGAAGGGGAAAAGTAAGAAAACATGAAGATAAGAAAATCTTTAAGAAGGAAATTCTTGGGTGGCCTGCCTTTTATAATTTCCTGCAACTGAACTCACAAAATGCACTTTAAAAAACTTAAAAGTTCAACAATGAGTCTAAATCACCAAAGAAAATGAAAACCCAGATTTGTCTTTCACTCAGAAAAATAAAATACTACAACTTTTTTTGACAATTCACTAAAACAGGAACATGAACTGATATAAATATTCAAGATCTAAATTTTAAAGGTATAAAAATCTAAAATAGCTCAAGATTAACCACAAATGAAGTTTAAAAATGGAAATAGCCGGAAAGAGGGGTGGTGGGCAGACTTACCTTTAGAGTGTAAAATGGTCTGTAGCACAGCAAGAAATAATGTGAAAGATGAAATGAACACAGCGAGTGAACGACAGGAAGTAACGTAAAGAAACCCAAAGAGAGATAGAGAGAGGAAGGCGTCAAGGTCCGTCACATTGACCAGAAAGCCATCAAATGCAAATGCTTGAGAGCTGTTGCAGTTTGCCGAGACACTCCATGCTTCAACAGATAAAGAGGAAAAGAACACTTTTTTAAAAAGGGTGCAGGGGTAAAAACGATATTTAATCCAATGCTGGAGCACTTAGCTATTTTGGGGCGGATTGTCGGACTAACATGATGGAGGTAGCATAAATGGATGGCAACACAGATACTGTACTTTACCTCATTTTTCATTTATTAGGGGTTTCTATTTCGGCATACTAATTCAGATCTCACAAGATTTATTTCCACATGCCAAAACTCAGAGACATAAATTGAAGGGCAAATTTTCGAAATAAGAGTATTTTGGTTTAAAATTTCAAAATAGAATTGTTATATTTTATTCTTTATATAAGAGTAATTATGAATTTATGGCCAAACTTGGAAAGCACTGCAATTTTAAAATCTAGCACTATCAAAACACGATACTAATTACTCATGTTTACAGGATAAAAACATAAGTCCTATTTTTTAATACACAAACATTTTTAATTCTATTTAGAGTAATTTCCCAATTGTCTTCCCGTCATCTCATTAGACAATTGACAACAATGAATTAGATGAGAAATAATAAAAATAAAAATTTTGGAGTTGAAATTTCTATAGAGGAAAGATAAATGAATATAATAACAAATTACGTAATACTTGATACTAATGAAAAAAATTGAATTGGAAACTTCATTTTTGGCCAAAAATAGAGTTGGTCTAACGTTGATATTATCGTCTACATTCCTTAATTAAACTGACTGATTTTAATATTACACTTGATAACTCATGATTAAAAAGGTCCCAACAAGTTTGAGTTTCTCTCTTACATAGTTACATTCTTGCTATTCTAAGTTTCTAACTACAAAAATAAAATACAGGATCAGAGTAAAAAAATCTCATTTTCTCCATCCAAAAGGTTGAATCCCCAACCCCAAGGCCCCCCCTACCCCACCCGACCCGACAGGATGGTGGGGGAGTAAATCACGGTGACTCAGTCAGCAAAGCGGCAGTAGGCCTTTATCCGTGCGCACCAAAGGACCAGCCTTATTTCAGGTTCTGAAAACCCCCTTTTGGCCGCTGCGGGATTCGAACCTTGGTCTACGTCCAGTTTTTCCCACCACTCGACCAACTGAGCTACCCGTGCGGGTAAAATCTCATTTTCTCCCGGTGAAGTGCTGTTTTTACATCCGACTAACAAATGTCTATGCATTCTAATTTATAAGATGCACGTACGTAGAATGTTTTGGGTATTTTACGATGTATTATATAAAATATTTTATGTGGAGCGATAAAATAGTTACATGCTTTTTACGATTGAGGGCAATTACTTAGCATGCAATTTAAAAAATAAATTACACGTCTAATCAAACAAATGAAACAATGTGCTTTTATTTGAGAGGTCATTTCCTAAAGCTTTGCATTCAATCGATTTCCATGCAAAAATAAATGTGCAAATGACTAAGGCCGGGAGCTCTTAATTCTAGAGGCATGGCATATTTTTTGTTTTCTCTTTCTTTTGTTTTGTAGTTGAAAAATGATGCATTGCCTGTTTGGGTTATTTGCAAGTTTAGCACGGCTGAGATAAAAAGGGCATTCACAGCCATGAATAAAGGGAATTGATGGGAAAAGAATGAAAAAGCAGCCACTTTTCTGTTTAGCCAAAAGCGGCAAAGTTCAACAAACTCATTACCCTCGAGCGTGCTCCTCCAAGATCGATTATTATGCCCCTGATTTTGTGATAGGAAAAATATTTATTTTCAGCATCAAAAATAGTAAGCACAAGTATTTTTTTGGCAAAAGATACCTTAATTATTATTAAAATTGAAAACCAGATACAAGTTCGTCACAATAAAGGTTATATTGGAATGAGACCCAATGTTGGAATCACGCTTAATAGCGGCCAATTCACTAACCCCGCAATTTGGTGAACTTCATTCATAGCAATGTTGCACCTGTTACTAATTAAAAGGAAAAGCAAGAAACACAAAAGAGTCTTGAGACAACAAGAAAGCATAGAAAGAACATAATCCAGTTTTTCCAACCACCGGCAAGGAGACAACAGTTTGACCAGACCCCGCCAAAGGTTTGTCCTGCATATCTCCAATGTCACTGATTACTTGTGGTGCTTCCGGAACAGCACCATCACTTGCAAGTTATTTGGATTTGCCTCATCCACATTCATACTTGCTTGTGCCCCATCCTCGCTAATAAGCTCAATGACCCTTGATTCCTCTTTGTTCTACCTTGGTTCTTCCTAGGTAGTAGCTACTTCCTAACCCTTCGATAGCAACCCTTCAACCACATAGTTTTCATGTTCACTTATTGCTTTGCTCGAGATTGCTCCTCATCCCTTCTGTCCCCTAGCCAGAATGCGAGCCATACAATGGGCCACTGTGTGGATTAGAGGGACATAAATGGTAAGCATGACCAAGAATCTCACACATGAAACAAAAATTTGGGAGTCTCTAGTAACGAATGTTTGCCCATACATTCAGTTATCCTCCTCCTGTCGGACCTGCAAGTGGCTAGTCAAAGTGTTGGATCGATTCACCCCTTTTGACAAACTTCCCAGTAGGTCACCCATCCTTGGGCTTTCTTTCCCCGAGCTTGCTTAATTGCAGAGTTTTGTGGTTAAATAGAAGTCATATCTTTCTTAAAACCGATTGGTGATAAGGAAGTGCACACCCTCTATTTAACGCATTATCTGTAGTACCCAAGTCAAGGTAGATTCCTGTGGGGCACCCCCACAGTTCACTACGGTAGGGCAGAGCCCCACTACTTAGTGGTGGATTGACATGAGAGGCTGCACCACATCGTGGTGCCAACAGGTTGGGCGATTAAACCCTGAATCAAAGGGTGGTGTTGATCTCCCATAAGACTAACATAAAGCCATAGTAATATTGATAGTGACTCTAATACGCAGAATCAACCTTTGTTTTCCGTCAAGAGAGCTCTGATCCACTTGCATAAATGATCCAATGTTGGTTATTCCACGAGTTGCTCTTACCATCATGTAACTTAACAGTAGGTTGTGTACCTGAACCCAAAAATCCGCATGGTCCATTGGAATTTCAAGGGGGTTGTTAGTACGCCCCACACGCTTAATGACCACAAGATTTTGTTCGAAGGACCAACGTCCTTCGTCAATGACTCTGCTCATATCTCCTTCATGATAAAATTCTAATAGGAATTTAGAATCCTCAATCTCATCAATCGAAACTCCCCTAACTGGTCACCAGACCATGACCATTATTTGGTGGAAAGAAACAACATGAATGGGTTTGTCTGAAACCACTCTGGCGGAAAAATATTATGTAAACTCAAATAGAAATTGAATAGTTATCTTATCAAACAAAAGTGTTAATATATGCTAGCTATTATAACACTTTTTTATGTGTCAACGAATGTGTGTGTCAAGAAATGTAACATTTCCTGTAGAGCTAGATAACTTGTTTTGGTGGTTCTCAAGAATGGAGTGTCATCATTTTTTTGTTATTGTCTTATAAGGATTAGAATAAAAATTAAAAGTTTGAGCATGATACTTTCTCCGTCCTGATAGAGTTGTTCTATCTTTCTTTTTCTGCCCGTCTTCTCTCTTCATTTATTTAATAATGACTACCCGGGATCCCTATGCTTCTATATAAAGGGCTGGCATTTGTATGAATATCTTTTAAAAAAGTGTTTTTGTAAGCAATATGCACATAATAGAAAAGTAAATTAACAAAGGGTTATGAACATTCTCGCTACATTCTAATACTCAAGTAGCATTTGGGTTCTCATGTAGCCAATTTTAAAGTAAATAACTTAAGATCGAGTTGTCTTATTAATGGCTTTGTATTGCGCTGAATTTCTGATTTCTATCATTTCTTTAGGCTAGTGGATTTTTTAAGGCCATGGCTCATATTACAGATTATATTTAAAAGACCCTGTATGATTTTTTTACTGGTTAATCTTCATTTCCCAGTAATTCTGCTAAAAATGAAACAAATACCATTCAATAATATCATAATCATTCATAAATTGAATGTATATGTCTTTTAGAGCTTGGACTCGCCCATTGGTTCAGGCCTCTGGGATTTGAACTTTGAAGGTTTTCGACATGGAAAGATAATCAGCAGACTCCAAATAATGTTAGGCTTGACATCCAAGCAAATGCATATCAATATGTGGGTTTTATTATCCAAATTAGACTTTACACCCCGTTTTTGAAATCATTAGTATTTGCACCCTAACCTCGTATGAAAAGTCAAAAAATGCCCCTCGGTCAGGATTATGTTGAAGGCCAACAAAATTGTTAATTGAGGGGCATTTTAGTCTTTTCATACGGGGTTGGGGTGCAAATAATAAAGATTTCAAAAACGGAGTGCAAAGTCTAACTTTAACAATAAAATGGGGTGCAAAGTCTAATTATCCCAAATAGATATTGGGAGAAGGCGTGAAAGTTGTCCACCTGAAAAAATATTCAACAAATTCACTGAAGAATAATTGAAGTGTTAATATTAATAGTAATAATTAGAGAGAATTCCCTAAATAGGGGTAAAAAATTTTTGAAATTCCAAAATAGGAGTATCATGTTTTTTATTCCCTAAATAGGAGTAAATTTCTGCCAAACATGGCATTACTAGGCTTTAAACATGGCATTTTCTTCCAAACTTAGCAGATTACTCCTGTTCAGGGAATAAAAAACATGATACTCCTATTTTGGAATTTCAAAACGTTTTTGCTCCTATTTAGGGCAATTTCTATAATAATTATAACAAACAATAAAGTATACTAAAGAATAATTGAAATATGACAAAGCCAAATCTCTACTACGCAATAGGAAGTCAGTTTTGATACTACAATCTCCCAATAAAATTAAAAATAGCAGTGATAATATTATTTTAAAAACAGAAATCTATGTTGTAAAAACCGGACCGGTAAGTGACCCGGACAAATGACTGGGTCACGGGTCAACCCGGACCCGGCGGGTCAGCCCGGTCAACGAACGGTAAACCCGGTCAACAACTATACATATAAATCATATAATTAATTAATTATATAAAGATTAAATTCATAATTAGAAAAATAATATTCCTTCATAATTTAATAATGATAATAAAATATAAACAATGTTAAAAAACTGT